ATTAGAGAATTCAAGAATTTGTATAAGCCTCACTCACCATCATCGTTTAAGATCATAAGACCAGTGATCTACCCTTGTATAGGGTTACTTACTTTATATTTWTGAAGTTGTTTCTGAATAGTATGTAAATAAATGGTTAACGTCGGCTCCACCGAAGCTAAAATCTGAATGTTTATTATMATTCGAAAGAATAATTTTGGCATTTATTACCTGAAGATTACTTCTTTCAAATGCTGGCCGCGGCTACGTCTAAGATGGTCCATCCGTTGAGTCCCATTTTCGTTGACTCGTTTGAACATTTCGACTRGTAACTGGCGAATAACGTGCGTGATGTTTTGCTCCAAGSCCTGAATCGAAGCATTATTGTCCGCATAGACCTTMCACTTTACATAYCCCCAGCTTAAAGAGCCTAACGGTGTAATATTATTCGATMTTGGTGGTCAATTGACCGACCGTGAMATTATCTGCTCATCGAAGTGTTCTATCAATAAATGCATTGATTGATGCGATGTTTTGGAAGTGGCGCRAAATCACGAGCTTTAATTTCAGGCATCCAAGAGTCGGTTATCATGGCGCCACAACGATTCCCACAAACCAAAAATAACCGGTTGTCTTTTCTTTGATGAAATTGCAGCTTTTGAATCCCTTCAGGTTGCTTTTCTCCCAAGTGCGGCAATTTTGCTTGCTTACCACCAAATCGTTCCATATTTCAGTCCGAGTTGCCTCTTCACGGTCTTTTGTGCACACTTTCAGTTACGGCTTCTATAATTAGTTCACTGCGTGGTCGTGGTCTATTCGKTCGAATACGATCCAATAATGAATGTTGGGTCTCAAGATGAGTGATGGTGTTGCCAATAGTACACACAGTAGGTCGATTATGTTGACCATAAGTTGAGCGATGCGCGCGAATTCTTTACAGAACGTGAATTTTCATAATAAAGTTGAACGATTTGTAAACGTTTTTMAGGCGTAAGTCTTTCCATGATGAAAGGCCATAAAATTCTGAACAAAACCAAACATGACAGATTGACCCGACTCACGCATGATCTATCAAAAAAAGCGATTAAAAGAAGTAGCTCTATTAGGATCACCCGATAAAAACCTTCTTTTTCCTTAAGTAAAAATACGCAATTGCATGAAATACCAAGTGATCAAATTTGACCCGGACTGGACAAAAAAAAATTTTTTTTTTTTTTCACAACACCTATTATCGCCTTCAAAATAGACTTCTGAGCCAARGTAAGCATGCAATCCAATTTTTCATACATTTTTTAAAATCCTTGGCTTGGAAGATCAGTGCCTTCAGCGAATCTGGATTTTTTTCATTTTCGGTTAACATTTTAACCGCCATTCGCTAGATTGTTAGATAGTTTCGACGTTATAATCATAAACCCTTGTCTCGTCACCTATAATGAGGAACTAAATGATTGTGGGATCCTCAGCTACATTGTGAATCATCTTCTTTGCGATAGCTTCATATGCAAAACATTAATCAAAATGAGTTCAGTCTATCATTTGCTATGATTCTGATGCCAACAAATTTTCAATGACTTCACTACCTTCACTGGATGCTTTAAGTCCGCCAATCATKTCTGCAACATTTTCAATGATTTTGTAGCCGTGAAATTGGAAACACAAAATTTTAAGCAAGTGTGTTATATAATTTCTTTGCCATGGTAAAAATMGCCAGYYAAACCTTTCGGGCCATAAAAAACTRCTGCCMAACACACAGTAATTGAAATATGAAGATCAAATATAGTAAGATCCTCCCATACAAATCTATTGTAAATCTTTAGGAAAGTCATGCTGCTTGATCTCAAGAAAAAACTTGAATTTGTTTTTCAATTTTGCATGYGCCTGAATGAATACTATGAATATCTTTGATTTTAAATACAGAATTCCTTTAACTTTTGATATAACTTTCCAAGTCAAACGCTATGTAATTCCAATATCAACTATAATATTTATTGTAGCGGAAAATCTTCAACAAAATACAATTTTTACGTGTAATAAAGTCATAAAATGCAGATTTACGCACATATTCTCACACACACATGCATACGTCGATTTTTCAGAATGAATGCAAGTCTTTATGAGCCTTTATGTTAATAGCTTTTACAAGCCATTTCATTTAATGCACAAGCAGAGGAGATATTTTCATACATTTTTACACGCTTGGCAGCATACCACACATAGATATGTACCTACAACTGCTCTCGCACATACAATGTCTGTTACCCACTTACCCAATCCTCGAAATGTCAACGAGATGCATCAGAAACTGTCGCGTTACAYACTCACTCAATTTGAGAGTATCTGCATATGTATGCGTATTTTAACTCCACTCCTTTGTCTGCGTGTGTGTGTTTGTGTGCACGAATATTGCATAAGTCAGTTATGATTGCCACGCATAACAGTACATGACACCRGCGTTGACATGCCACTAACTTTGTAAGGGACCCACGTTGGCTCTAGCACGAGCATATATTATTATGTGTGGTGTATGTATGTAAGTGAGCCATGTAATCGGGAAGTGGGTGACAGCATTGTTGCAGTGATTGCCCACCAGTGAATGAATGGCGGAATGAATGAATAACTAAATGAAAGCCTATCCAGGCCGTCGYCTGTCGTCGCATTCAGCGCTGCTGCTGCTGCCACTACTGTTGCAACACTTCAAGCTTGACTGCTGTCAAGTGCTACAATACACSGGGTAGTTATGTACAAGTATTTGTGTGATGCTCCCTGAACATCAACCAAATTTGAATACGTTAGTAGAATGCTTTATGCGCCGATAACAGTAACTGGCAGCTGCCGTCTATGTGAGAAGCTATGACAACAGCAGCGCCAAGCTRCTTGCTGCTCTACAAAAGTTGTACTAAGTTGTTGTTTCTTTTGTAAATTTTTTGACGCATCGTTGTYCTCTACATAATATAAAAAAAAGACATGTACACATAAACCGTTATAGTTTTCTACGACTTGATCACCACGCGCTTAATTGCAAATAATGAGGTAAAAAAGTTGTAACCAGATCCGTTTGCCCACTGACGTAAGAGGAAGAATAAACAATGTACGTATCAGTAACACAAAACTCTGACACAAACATGGAATAATGTCTAATAAAAATAGTTGAGCTAAAAATCATATTTGCAAAAGGTCTTTCACCGCGTTCAAGCCTAAATTCTCAACGATTTGTGCATATACACACGTTGGCAAAATATAAATTATGGCAACGATTTTTCAGTCCTCGAAACACTTTCCATGAGCACTATTTGGGATGGCTTTTAMCTCCGTCAGCGTATTTTATTTTAACTCTGCAACCGACTGAATCCGATGACGGTTGACTTGTTTGCATGTCAAACTCATAAACCCATRTCTCATCGGAATTCGCGCCATAAAAAATAGTGGATCAAGCGGTCAATAGGGAATASTACTTGCCCATTTCGAGGCGTCGACATGAAATAGATTCGTCGCAAACGACCAAATTTTTTTTTTTTTTGCTCAGCCACCATATTCGACAGATTTAACTCTCAGGAACAATCCAGCCGAGATTTATAAAGAGTTTATGAAAAATTGGTTTAAGAGATGATATTTGGTTGTGTTTTTGTTCAGTACAGTCCAAATTTGTTCAAATTGTTATCATATATATATATCACGACACAATAAATATTTGAAGAGTTCGTTTAGTATTAATATTATTAATTTAGTATAGTTTAAGAGTTTAGATATTATTATAGAGAGTACTATGGCTTTCATTTGCATATATAGTCACCATAGTCCAATGGAAGGGAGCCACTAATAAGAACTGTTTTTTACGGTTCTACTAGGGGTTTACCTCAATTATATAATATATGAATATATTAAACTATTGCGTCAGTTTATGACTCTACCTTTTTCATAGCATCACTATTTCATAAAATGTTGTACCGATTAGTGCATGTACTATTTTCTTAATTCTCTTGAAAAAACTTAGTTATAACATAATTTTTCAACTTTCACTAAAACGGAAACTCTTTTCCTTAATACAGAACTAGATGAATTTCAGCATTAACTACATGCAAAGATCTTCTATGCCGTAGATGCATTTATAGATCGTCTTATTAGCTATTTTCTGATCTATAAAGAGCACCTAAAAGTTTTGCTCCCAAAACCCAAACAACTGACACCAAATGACTTAAAAAGTATTAAGCATATTTTGCTAAAGGAAAGCCTTAAGGTTGAAGCTTATATCTAGACACTTGATATGAAGAAAAGAGATTTTACTCCAATTCCTTTTATGGCTCAACRAATGAAAGATCTTATAAGCTTTTAGTATGATAGAAATTATGAAAATATTTTTTGTACAGTTCTAAATATGCAGACATAAGTGTAGATATATTTGGTAGAAGCTTACTCGGGCTTTTCTTTTGTAGGCTTTTCAATTTTTTTTTTTTAATCATTTTTTTTTTTTGTTTTAAGTTATACTTAGTTTAATTTTTTCTGACAAAAACGGCGGCCGCTATTAGAAGAAATTATTGATAATGGACGATAACTTGGATGGAACCCAGGTATCTGAAGTGACGGCTTTTAAGTCGGTAAAAGGCTACATATAACAAACTTTATTTATTAATTTTTTGTATTATATATATTATCGGGATTCTGACTCATAAATTTCTCTCTCGACTATTTCAACCACTATGTTTAATAATTTCAAACAAAAGTCTGTCTTTATTTCTACATTTTCTTTATGATATTTATAATATTATGTAACAAAAATTATACTCTGTCTTAAAACTATGTTATTACGGGATTGCCATCTCTATAACTCTCTGTATAGCAAACGAAAGAGACCAAAAAACAAAGTGCCAAGTAAAGAGTGTTTTATAGTTTTCAAAAAACCTCAAAGCTCTCTTGTCATATAAGCCTTAGAATCGAAGCTAAATGTTTATATATTACATACATAAATATATATGTATGTGGATTCCGCTATATGCTCTGTTATTTTGTGGGTCCATGTTATTTTGCCGGTTCGCTAACKCATGCGCCAGTTGATTACAGAATGTTTCGCTAAACAATCGTGCTTTAGCTGTGAAGAAAAAGTGTTTGACAAAGTGATTCCATCGAACTCTGCTTATTAAATTTAGTAACTGTGTTCTTAAAAATGTACCGTTCTGTTAATAAAAAAATGTGTTTAAAAAAGAAGAACTATAATGAAAACAAGGAAGTGTCATTAATCTATTAAATCAAACAGAGGAATCTATTCCAAATCGACAAAGAGAAAGGCCAGTACCTTTTTCGGCTCTGTAAAGGTACTGTTATTTTTTACAGTTGTAGGCAGATCAAGAGTTTTAACTTAATATTCGTAAACTCCTTAGAATACACGGTAAAGTCAGAACTATTTCACTCATATAACTGAGTGCAGAAGAAATGGAGTCTCCACGAACGGAATCAACGATGTCCGCAAAAAGCGAGCTTGCAACACCAATAAAAACTACAACAAAACCAGAAAGTGAGCCTGTAAGACCAATAGAAGTGACAACAACAAAACCTGCGTTGAAAAATAATGTCGGCGTCTTGAACCGTAACACACTGGAATCAGATCGCGATGACGGCTTTTCAGATATTGATGAGCACCCTTTGAATAAGCCCGAAAATGCCCAAAATTGTCCCAAATATGTATGAGAGTCTTATGAAACGTTTGTTTTTAATTAGTGACGACTTTTCTTTTTCAATCCCGTAAGCTTTTGACCACTATGATACCCACTTGTCTGGCTGATTGTCAAAAAGCGTATGAAGAGAATGGCAATATTCTGACGAAAGCGGAGCGTCGAAAGCTTACTGBTGCCATAATTAAGTACTTTCGGCTTAATAAGATACTTTTAAAAACAGAAATAGCTACTGATCTGGCCAAACAGATAAAACGACATTTTCCTACAGAAAAAAAGGTATGCCAATTGAGGATAAAATCTGCGTAAGTAAGAAGGTTAAAAATTATRGCATACCTCTTGTTTCATATTACTAAATACTACGATAGAGACGACGCAAATCGTCATTTCCTACAAATCTTTTAGAATGAAAGTGAAAGTGCGAAGTCGAACTTTCCAATTAGAGCTAGGATATTTGATATAACATTGATTTGATTTCGGTTCTTCTTAAAGTACTCTTATTAGAAATGCTTAAGGTACATTTTGTATATAGATTTATAATCTATAAAGGTCTATGTTTAGAAATGATGAATATTTGGGCGATTTTTAACTTCCATTTTTTAATTTCTGTTACACTATTTTTTACATTTGATTTTCAACTCCCAGCAATGGTCTAATAAATAGTTGATCTGACCTTAAGCGAACTCAAGAGCTTTTGTGTAAGTCTAGGTCTCGTGGAATATATCGATAKTACTATGCGGTCTCGTCACAGCAATTGGTTCTAAGTATCTAGASTCAGATTATTAGCTGGGCAAGTCCATCAAAGTAGCTTTTAATTATATTTAATGGATTAGTACCTAATTAAGGTCTAATCTAGTAATCTTGAACTCGAAAGATATTCTAAAACATTACGCAGAATGAAAATAGTTCTTGAATAGACTCTCCTCTATTTTGAGATGATGCCGACTGTTCTARCCGTACAAATAGTAACAAGAGCCTGAGTTTGGTTCGAGRTATTTAKTCGCAAAAACCAAAACCCATATCGTTGAACTTTAGCATTTTCGGCCSAGGTTAGAGCAGCTCCGGTATATTTGAGTTATTTCACCTTCATTACCAAAACACTCGATCCATATTTTTACAGCGCGACTGGTATAAGCATAAGAACAGCACAAGTCGTGGCCGCTTACATAGAAGGTACTACAATTACCTTCGTCGTAAACAAATAAAAATATTTAATTTACCGATACCACAACGCCAGTGGTGGCAGGACAATAAAGCGTTAGATCCAAASGAGTTCGCAAAATGCGACATTGGAGACAAATGTTCAAAACCAGACGACCAATGTATGGACGACAAAAAATCGTTAGATGCAGAAGGGTTTATAAAATGTGATGATGGACACGATTGTCCAAAACCAGGCGGCCGAGGTGAGGAGGATAAAGAAGCGTTAGATCCAGAAGGGTTTATAAAATGTGATGATGGACACGATTGTCCAAAACCAGGCGGCCAAGGTGAGGAGGACAAAGAATCGTTGGCGTACGGAGGGTACTTTCAATTTGCCGGTAGTCATAACTGTCCAAAAACAGAAGATCGCTTAGAACGCTTTGATAATGGTACATATACCTAAATAAACAAATAAAAGGACTACTTTCACTGCGAAAATTCTTACCTTCAGGGATGCGGCGCGTACAGCTTTGGCTGCAAGACGTCGTCAAATGTGGTAATGCCATGGATGCGATCGACATATGGAAGGACAAATGGATGTATCGAAGAGAACAGCTCGAACAACTACAACCAGGCGACACGCAGCAACTCGAAGCTTACCTCGCTGAATGGGCAGCCTACAARGGCACCAATAGCCGACAATTGGTAAACGACTTTTTCTTACTTAATTTTTKAAAGCAATTTAATTTTTTTCTTTGTGYTCTTTGCACTTTACAGCTGAACTACGACTTCGCACAAATGTACCCCGGCAAAATAGAATACTACAACGAGCAATTGTCTCATTTCAATGCGTATATCTTCTCATATATGGCAGTACATTTAAAAGATGGAAAATTTCTGAAGTTTTTTGAACAGTACAGAAGTGAAATGGTAACCTTTAATAAGGATCAAAATTTCACGTTCCTTCACATGATGCATGATATCATGCACCCGCAAAGCTGTTACAGCACGTCRGAGAACTCGCGACCTTACAGCACCGCCGAATCAGAGCGCGAAACCATGCGTATTGTGCAAAACGAAAGTGAGGTGGACAGCTATAACGAGTGGCATCCATGCATATTTGTCTTGTTGGGGAAAACGCCGGGAAGCAATCGMTACATAGTGGCTTGGCGCGATGTGCGTTACCACTTGCCGCTCGGTGAAGCCTTACTCGCCGCCATACAGCTGTACTTGCTCTTCAAGTTGGAGTATMCACCGGCGTGTGCGAGTTTCTGGCAATTCGTACGTTCGTACTTTTTACATATCGTATTACCGCAGGATATCTCTTACGTWAGGTTAGAGAGTCTAAAGATCTATATGGAATTATTAAATCCAATTCCTTTGCTACCTCTGCCGTCGCCGCCGCCGCCGTTGCCTCCTATGCCGTATTTCTTAAGAAAAAAGTTTGACTAAAAGCTTTTAGCAGTAATTTCAAAATTTTTGACGTTACCCCACACGCAATAATAAYTTTTTTAAACTTCAATACATTTCACTGAAATTTTTTTTAACWTAAAATGTCGCAAAATAAACACAACACMATGGACTCCAGCAACGCTGTGAATTCGCAAACGSCCGCCACTTTAAAGTCGCATGTGTCGTTCGATACTTACCCCGAGGAGAAGCTCGACAWGCTCATGRGTAAGTGCTGGACGGAYTGTCTAATTAAAGGYGGCGCCGGTTTTGGCATCGGATTTCTCGTCACACTTTTGTTTATACGACGCATGTGGCCACCGATTTTGGGCAGCAGCTTCGGCTTGGGCGTGTCATACAAGGAATGCGAGCGAAATCTTCAATCGCAAACAAAGTGCGAGACTGCTGATAAAGTAAATGAAAATAAACTAGCTTAGTAYTTGTATTTGTGTTCTTATAATTGAAAATGCATGTAAAGCATACATAACCTAAATATTTATATATGTATATGTATGTATAATAAAATGTCAACATTTTTATGGAAGCTGTGGTGTCTTAGTGTTCTCCGGRGCTGATAATTTTTATGAAAAGTTGATTAGAAACAAAAAGTTCTTGATCTGATCTGTCGTGAAACAAAGAGGTTTCGCAGAACATAYGTATGTCATTCGGTGGTTGGTTTTAAAAGATCATCTTTGGCCAAGCTTGGGTTGTAATCAGAASTTATCACCAATTGATACCGACGTAAGTCGATTTCTTTTTGATATCACAGCTTAAACSCATGTATTTTCTGAATTTTCTGAGATCCTCGGACTAACTTGGAAATAAACAAAGGACCACGTTAACTTCGAAGCACTGCACTTCTCAAATAAMAAARTTTCCACACAAAACTCGATTTTGATCGGGCAGTTTGTGTGACAGCTATATGCTATAGTGGTTCAATRTGAATAATTTCTTCGGAGACTGCAGCGATTGTCAAGTTTCGATTAGATATCTATCAAATATAAAATATTTCTATACAAGAATCGGATTTTGACAAAAGGACAAAAGCTTTTAGAACTTTCATACATTCCTTTCGATCGAATTTATAGCAGAAAAATKTATCATTAATCAGAAATAAAAATTWGTCGAAGAAGTTTGCAGAGACTCTTCTTGGTCGAATTTTTTCTGAAGCCTACTCGATGRCAAACTAGCCTGTCAAATGTTGTTACAGAAACACAGTGTCCGATTTGGTTTTTCTTCTCTAGGCACATATTCGAAACCGATACTGATTTGTTCAAGGGAATCAATTATTTCAATAAYCCCGTCTATTTTGGTGTGATTAAGAGCAAGTACTACGACCCATATACTTATATTTACTGTAAGAACTACATATATATGTAAATACCATAACCGAAAATATTTTCTCTTTCAACATGGATCTTTTTCGATTACACAAAACTTTTATGAAAATATTTGCCTTAACTATATAAGCATTCTCATCTTTATACCTTCATCATAGAACTCCATAACAATTACGCACATACAAATAAACAGAAAAAATTGTTTACATATCTTATCAATATCAGCAACATTAAATATTGCTGTAAACAAAAGAGTGGCATGTGCTTGATAAGCAACTCGGCGATAAAGCTTTAATTTATTGGCACTCGCTCGTAGCATAACGCTGTTAACGACTCTCACGCTCTCTAGAATAAATTCAYTTAACATTTAAACAGTAAGCAGGGTTGTCAACTGAGGAGGAATTCTGATTTTTTGGTAGATTTTTTATTCATTGGAAATTTTAGAATTKTTTCTAATTTTAGTAGTAAAGAATTTCTTGAGCTATATCCATAAATCACTTCTTCTAATGACATCATATGTGAGGTACTTTATGGCCAAAACTTTCCTCTTATTCTATATAAAAAAAATCTATTTTACTAATTGTGCAGAAGTTATGCTTGGATGCTAAAAAGTATGTATAGAAAAAAAAATTTTAAGAAGTTGACGACGTGTGTATTCTGGTTTGCATGGTACATTATTGTATAATATCTATATATAATATATGAAAAGAAAAGTTTATTTAAGTACCCGAGATCACTACATTTATTGGTTATATACAGATAACCTGTCGACACTGTTAGATTGGTCGCCGCCGAAGATTATTTTCAGCATAGTCAAAAAATGTAGTAAGGTTTTAAGCTCACTGTCAGGTCAACTTGTACATAATTTGTATTCTTAGTAACAGGAATATTTTTGGCAAAGACAGGATCTTAGACGAATCCAAGGAATTGTACCCAATACAGTAAAGACAACAGATGAAAATTTATAACAAAATTCAAGATGGTGAAGCAAATGTAAATACAGACTTTCAGCCACCATAAAGCAGCATTATCGATTTGGAGAATAACTGATAAATGAATAAGGAAACAATCGTACACCTCCTCTGTGCGTGACCTATCACAAGGCYGCGGCTACGTCTCATATAATCCATCAGTTGAGTCCAATACTCGATGGCTCGTTCAAGCATTTCGACTGGTAAATCGAAGCGGGATTGTCTGCATTGACTTTAGACTTTACATATCCCAACATGAAAAGTGTAACGATGTGATATCACACGATCTAGGTGGCCAATCGACTAGCCATACACTTGAAATTATCTGCTCACCGAAGTGTTCTCTCAATAAATGTATTGATTTATGCGATGTGTGAGAAGAGATGCCATCTTGTTGAAACCAAGTGTTTGAGAGATCATGAGCTTCAAATATGTGCCGATGATTCCACCGGCCCGCAAACCACAGGCAACGGTTGTTTTTCTAGATAAAAGGACAGCTCTTGAATCTCTTCAGGTTGATCTTTGTTCCAAAWGCGGGAATTTTGCTTGTTGGCATAMCCGTTGAGCCAGAAATGAGCCTCATTCTTTGAAATTTTCAAGAACTTAGAGCGCGATGTCGCTTGGGCTTCAGGCTTTKTATGCTTTCAATTCCATACGTCAGTCCGAGACAATAATAATACAATGGGAACTTTTTGGTTCAAAAATTCGCCTTCAAAAATAAATAAATTTAAATTCATTGTACTTAAAAAAAAATAATAATAATAATTAAACAGAATTAAAATCTTAAATATTATGTTCTTAATTCAAACCCAATTTTTTCTGTATTCCAAAAAATATTTACAAAATCACATACAAATTTTATAAACTTCAACTGGCAACCCTGGCATTAAGWAAATCTGCCATAGAGCATTCTGAGCACTAGCGTCATAGCCAAGCGGGAGAATAACAAAAGTACAACAAAGACAAACKGCTCCCAGCTCGCTACATTGTTGGTGAGCCAATTTTGGTGCGATCTCCATGCCAAACGCTCCACGCAGCGCCCATCTCAGCTGAGAGTAAYGCCACTTAGAAAGCATCCAACGCGTTTGCGACTGTCCAGTGTTGGCTAATGTGGGAGCGCGTGAGTTCAGTGCTAAATGCGAAGGCCGCAAGCAATTTTCAAAAACGTCGAAATTCGTGGAGACAATTTTTTTCGAACAAAAGTTCATATTCTTAATAAATATCAAATTCAAGCATAGTGATTGCCAAGCTGGTCAAGCAATCTAAAAAGTGTTTTGTTTTGAAAAAATGCACTCTTAGTGATTCTAAATACCTGTACGAGCTCGCAGTGATCGTGTAAACGAAAGTGTGTGTGTGTGTGTGTGTGTGTGTGGAGCTAAGCATCTCGAAGGAAAGTGCCTAAAAAGTATTGGAAAAGTGCACGTATCATTCAGCTAGTAAAAAACGTATGTAACAGAGTTCGTGTAACATTGTTAAGCAAAATCGCTTGCACATTAGCACATAGGTCGGTACTTACGTACTGCCATTAGTATGTACTAGTTCACTTGTTCTGCCGCTGTCACATTTCCGTGCGTGTTTTTGTCATGCGTTCGCTTTTAGCTTTTTTGCGCTTTTTTTTTTTGTTTTTTAGGAATGCCTATCTGTCGCAGGTTAATGACGTACACGAGCGTTGACTTCTAATTGCATTAGCAGTGTTGTCTAGCTGAAATGCCTTACGCTTATATTTAGCTATGCCTTAACCACATACATATATAGTATACAAGTGTAAATACATACAAACATGAGAGTGCGTGAAAATACTGAAAAAAATTTAATGTTTTTGTTCGGCTGTGTCACTAAAGTGTAGACTTAATACTCTATTAATCAAATTACTCTACGAAAGCGATGCCATTAATTACATTATATATTGTATAAATAAAGCTATACATATTCATATATGTATAAGTGCAAATTATCTGATCAAATCTTTCGTTATCAATTCACACAATTTCGCTGAGTTCTATTTCGTGTAAATGTCAACTAAGTCAATAAATGTTGCCTACATTTTGGCGCATTAAGCAAAACATAAAATTTTGGTTCTGGAATTTGYTTTGAAGTGGAATGAGTATGCAATGTGATTTAATACAGTTATGTAATAAGAATCAAATGAATCATTCAAGATAATGCGGAAAAATATTATTTGTCCAGGCTTTTTTCKACAGTAAATGAGCTGTTTTTTGCAATTTACATATATATTTTGCATTGCTAAAATCTAAATTTTTAATACAAATTTCCTAACCTGTATAATTTTTGGTGCTATAGTCAATTCCTTGAAAGCTTTGGTGTTTTAAGGCCCTTGTCAATTGCAATTATGGTTTATTAGACGTAATCTCTTGTCAAAGGCCAATTAAGGAATACTGAGGAGCTTTAAAGCTTCAGAGGATAACCTATTTGTTGATTTTTATAGATCAAAATTTCTCTATGTGCTAAATTGTATTGTATTCTTGCTTTATAAGGAACTGTAAAACTAACATTAAAAGTATTAAAAAAAAATGTATTTTTAATCAAGGGTGAACATTATATTATTTAATGCCTGTTGCCTCATTTGCGTAGAGTTCTGTACGCGAATTTCGGATACTGACATTTGTCTTAAATAGAATTATACTTTAAGGAGCGTTGTAGCAAATATTCAGAAACTAAATTTTTATATATATTTTTTGTATCCCTATATCTTCTTTTCTTTAGACACAAAGACAGTAGACAACTTTCAGTGTTAGGAATTTTGTTGCATATACGATTCATGAAAAATCT